AAGGTCTGACACTTTTATATATATCTTAAATTGAAGCTAATGCAATGTTCTTTTTTATGCAAAAAAAAAATTTCGGACTTTATTTTATCTTCACGGTGAAAATGGCTACCAAATGCTATAATTATGTGAAAATTCTCGATTTTATTTTTTACATTTTTAACTTTATAATGCTATAACTTATTGAAAAGTGTATTGATCAACACAATTTTTTTATGAGAAATAATATTTTTTAATAATCCCTTTTTCATTCGACATACTTTATCTTAATCAGGNCGAATAAATATTTTTTTTCAAAAAACGAAAACTCCCGTTATTTTTTGATATTTTTTTAATTTACGTCAGTTTTTTTCTTTATACCTCGCATAAAGTATTTAAAAACAAAAATTTGGGTTCATCGGTACATTTTTTAAGAAGCTATAGCAACACATCGCATGCCATTTATGCCAACACCTCAATCTTCATAATATTCGCTAACATAATTAATAATATAATAAACAACACTTAACCTACTTACTGGAGCTTCCAATAATCCACCACACATACCACATAAAGCTACAGCTAAGTACAATTCCAAAACAGTGGAAGCATTATGAAATAATAGCCACGCTACAATAAATGGTAAGTTGAGCATGACCATGCTTCGTTTTCGTCCAAATGGTTGCGTTAAAGTTCCTGACATCAAACAACCAAGTGGTACACATATTAGATTTATGCTGCCTAAATAAAATAAAAATATATATTAGCTAAAAAAAAATTAATTTAATTCCTTCATATACTAACTAAACCATGATATTTGTTCTCGAGACAACTGAAGAGTATCACTAAATTTTCCACTAATGCTATTTAAACTTTTGTCAGAATACAACGCTGGAATCGCTATGGTTGGTAGACCTATTGTCATTCCATACGTAAGAAGCAAAACGTTTTTTGCTGATATTGCCAGGATCTATTTTTAAAAATTATATAAGTTTATACTTCTGGAAAAAAATTTATTTATTGATAAATTTCTGCAGTCTACTATCTTCTTAATTTAAAAGAGTTACAGAGAAATGTTTATAAGATAACTACAATTTATCATTATTGTTTTTACTCATTAACTCTCATTGTTCAAAGAACCTTTTATTTTTTTATCACAGATATGTTTTTTTTTTGTGATTTTGTTTCATTGAAAATTAAAATCTATTCATTATGTGTAATGTAAAATAAATATTTTTCGACAGCTCTACAAAATAAAAAACTAAAAAGTAATACACTGCTGTTGTATAAAATATATGTTAATTTATATTTTATAAAATATAAATAAACATATTTTTATTTATAAAAACTAGTATGATGTTAAATATTTGACATTGTATTTTGTACAAATTCAACCTCACTAAAAATGTTTAAATATGAGTCTGCAAAATCAGTTGGTCATTATTCAATATTCGGACATTATCTCGAAAAAATAATTTGCCGGTTAAATTTTCAGTCTTAGAGATCTTTAAATATAGTTTAATCACTTGTTCGAACATTTTTGTTATAGGGTTGAATCAACACTATTGATCTGACTAAAGGTCTGTAAGACAATAGTCATTCTAAAGGCATATTAATTTTCTAAGCGATGTAATATTCGGACGTCGTTGACTTGACTTACTGTACAGTTCTTTTTCTACATTCTTGAGAATATAATTTCAAAACTAAGTGGATCAATTTAGGTGGGGATCTATATAAAACCAACAAATTTATTTATTTTTGACCAAAAGTATTTTAATTTTGTTCAACATTTTTTTACCGTTATGATAAACTAAATAAACTATAAAATGTATACACAGAATAAGTAATGAAGATATGACAAAACCAATAAATCTTGATCCAATAATTAGATCACTCTAATTTTTTTTAATAACAATTTGTACATTTTTGACTACGTTAAAAGTATAATATTTATAATTTATCATAATTAGAAAAACAATTTTTTTTTCAAAATTTAAAAATAAACAATTCTTAGCTATTTGCTTACAAAAAACGTTGATGGATAGATATCAAATTTAAGATAAGTTTTTATTGATTTACAAACATTTAAATACATTGAAAAAAACATTGCAGTATTTGCAATTTTAAAATACTTTTTTTCATTTTTGGAAAAATCCAATCGTTTTTGACTTTAGACACTGTCACTATATTGACTCGGCCACACCGACCCTATAATATGATTTTAAAGTAGTTTAAAAATATAAAACTTCATTTTAAAAAAATGATACCGAAACTTATTTTTATTTTTTAAAATTTTAAACGTTTTTATGAAAATAAACTATTTGATAAAATATTAACAATTAGCTATTCAAATTTTACAATTTTTTCAAGAATTTTTAGTATCAACTAACTTGAGACAAAGCACTTTTAAATGTCTTCTCTTCTTTATAATTATCTGAGTCATTTGATTCATTCGTTTGATTTCGTGTATCAGCAAACATAGATAATTTGTCAAAATTAATCAAAATATTGCTTCAAATAACTGATTTATCGCTGGTAAATTTATTAATTTCTTCTCTAAAAATAAAAATGTTTTAACAATATACCAAATACTTTCAATAACGTATAACATTAAAATTATGTAAGGTATTTAATTGACCACGCGTTTTACCAATTAATATAATTTTATAGTGAATCAATTATTACTATTTTAAAAGGGCACAATAAAGGACAAGTCATCGAAATACTTTTTTTTAATTATGTAATACATTTAACAAGCTTTAATTCAAAGCTAGCTAAAAGTAATATTTGTGAAGAAGTTTTTGAAACACAAAGATGTAAAAAATAGTTACTAAAATTATATGGCGACGTCTGAAAACCTCAAATGAATAATTTTTAAAAAGTTTGTGAAGATTGAAATATTTTAGAATACTTATCAATTGACAAGCAATTATAATTTTATTTTATTGTAGTTGATCTAACATTATATTTAGTTTTGAACGGATAACAGCTGAACGGATTAAAAATCAATGAGCATAAGTTCCATATAGAGAAAAATTCAATGTCATCAATGCTTTTAAAAAATTATTAGGAAAAATAAACATTAGAATTGACGAAAGGCATATACTCTAGAAATTATCACTAGATTTGTTGGTGTATACAAAAAAATTCGATTCTCTTAGAAAATCGCAAAAAGCATTCAAGATGGTTCTACTTTTTTTAAAGATTAAGAAAAAAAATGTTTATGATAATGTATAAAAAAAAAATCTTTACTAAGCGCGGACTAAGAAATATATACTAATTTTGAGTCAGTGCATAGATGCATTAAGACTATAGTTCAAACAATTGAAGAAATGTTTACCAAGATAGGATTACAAATAATATGAAACTAAAACAAAATAATTAAAATATAATAGTGGACAATTAACTGCAGATTTTTACCTAATAATTAGAAATTGTCTTTAAAAAAATAAGCAATTTAATACTTTGGTTCAGTCTTAATTAATAAATATGTAACAGAAAATAAAATATCAGAAAAGATACTTTTAAGGAACTAATATCTTCATAAAAGGCTTTACAAGTCTTTTACAAGACAAAACTAACATTTATGACAAGAATAAAAGTCAAATATTTAATTTGTATTTGAACTTACCTGAAATCTCAATTTCATTGGAATGTTGTAATCTTATAAGTTTAATAATATATTATTTAACTTAATATAATCTTTATATTAACTATATTTTATACAAAACATTAATATACTAAAACGGAAAAAAAATTTACTTTGGTCAAAAACGGTTTTTACTAATTATTTGACTAATGAAATATGGTACATAAAAAATGGAAGAAAATAATGTATTTACGATCAAAACATAATTTTTTCGGTATAAAGATCTGTAGAAATGAACATACATTAATTTTGCCCCCTATATCCTCAACATCTAAATTTATAAGTCGAGTAGGTGATTGTTGACGTTCTAAAGTAATTTCAGTACAATTGAATCTAATCACGCCGAACTAATTGAAATGTAACTAATGTACTCGTATGTTTCTATGGCTGTTTCGAGTTTATTTAAAATGAAAAAGTTAGTTAGAATAAAATTTAGTCTATTTACTAATTCAGTAAAAAAAGCACATGAATTAGGTATAATTTAACCTTAGTTTAAGATACTTTTTTAACCACAACATAAAAGATGAGACGAATCTTAGGAAGGTCATAAGATTATTAAATTATCACAATGCAGTTAAAAAAACAATGTTTTTAGGTGATAAAATTTAAAAAAAATATTTGCACTTCTATTCAAATTGCATATCCACGCTTTTCAGAAAATTCATGATTATATACTACACGATAATTATTTATTTAGGAAGATGGAAACTAAAAAGATGTTAACATATCGTTAAGCGCAATAAAATAAGGTAGTCAATCATTATTTTTATTTTTCAGGGTATAAAAAATAAAATTTATTCTCCGATTACACTCTATATGTTTATATTTTTTTTAAATATTATAATTCCGATTAAAAATACATTTTCAATATTTTGATGAAAGTTATTATAATAAGAGTAAAACATAAATCTAAATACCTCATAATCTGAAAGTTGAAATTTTTGAGTTACTACTTTCTTCGTTGCGCAAGCCTTGTGTAATTTTTCTGAGATATCGTTATTAAACATTTTTATCTCTCTCTGAAGTTTAAACCAGCAAATATTATATAAATATATCAAAAGGTCAGAGGCGTCGATAAGTGAAAATTGGGGTTCAACCCTCCCGCCAATTACAAATTAGATTATAAATATATATCCGTGTATAGTAAATAATTGTTCAAAATGTTCTGGACTATATACTGTATAAAAGTTCCGTCGACAAATATTGTTTTTGAGTTGAAAAGAAACTTGATATTTGTATAACAAGAAAAATTATTTTTTCTCATGATTATTTAATAATAAAAAATGGTTCTCCACACATAGTTAATACATGTCGATATTATTAATAATTACATGTTATTCCCTTAGAGACGTTGGATTATTCAGAAAAGTTGTCACCTAACGCCATTGGTTTAGCGAACTAGTGGTTTCCTTTCAATTAAAATTTATATGTACTGCTTTCAGTAGCGTAGTTATAATTTTGTTGTAGATGGATATAAATAAGAAAATTTTATATTACCTCTTCAAACGAAAGAAACTGTATATTCAATATATAAATAATTTTGTTCGCCTCATCATTCCCTCATAAATACATCACTAATGCTGCTAACCCATTAGATATCTGCACCATGCAATGTATCAGAGTCGGCATGGGATCTTATAGGATCCGGAGGCAATTTTCTCAGAGGTCTATTAGTAAAATAATGGTTCCTAACTCAATATGGGATACCAAAATAAGGGATACCTCAGGTGTAATTAACACAGCAATGCATTATAATTCTCAAGTAATTTAAATAACTAAAAAAATATTTACAATTTATAGGCTACTTTATTAATTCAATTCTTTGTTGCTTAATCAATTTTTCCAAAGTAATTAAAGATTTTATAGTCGTAACAACCATATTTTATAAGGTTGATAAAATTTTATAGAATAATATAAAAAACCATAATGTATATGTTTAATATGACAGAAATGGATAATATTGCCGACAATGATAACACAGAACAATAGCCACTATTCTGTCTAAAATGTTTATGTTTTATATAATTTTGATGATTTTTTTTAAAACACAGAATTTTTATTAAATAAAACATGTAAAAATAAAATTGTAGTTTTTTCGAATATTTAAACTTTAAATAAAAGTTAAAATAAAATAAAAAATACTCAAGAAATTTTAAAGTATAATATAATATAGATAAAATAATAAAAAAAATTATTTCATGATTCTAAATACTTATTTATTTAATTAGTAATTAAGGAGCAAAATGTCCACGAGCTTTTTTGTAATCTTTAATTTTTTCTATGTCCACAGAAGGAAATTGTTGTTTTACCGCTTCCATATCTAAATTTGGGTAACGTTTCATCAGATGCATAACATGATTTTTATCACGGCTAAAATATAAATTAATTTAGATAAATAATGATTATAAAATTATAAATTTTAGAAGTAAAAACTAATTGATATAATTATTTACTTTCTTGCTTTCCTTTTTTCATTATGAATTTTTTCTCTATAGAATTTTTGGAACTTTTCAATATTTCCATTAACTCTATTAAATGTGTGCTTTTCTCTCCATTTTCTGTTCAAAAACTGAGGAATTAAATGTTCAAATTTACGGTAAAAAAAGTTCAATCCTACAAAATTTTACAAAAAAATATTTATATAATTATTTTAGAACTATTAGTTTAGATACAGGACAAAAAACTAAATACAAATAAGAAAACTGATTTTTTTAGTTAATGGTAAAATTAAGGTTTATGAGAAATAATCCAGTATTATAGTAGTTTTAGGATACCTATCATATGAGTCCTCATATCTAAGTAAAAAATTCATAATACTACTTAATTATTGATAAAATAAAAAATTATACTTATCTAAGGTATGGATACAAATGCTAACCATACTATATGAGGGAGCAGTGACATAGAACAAAAGTTGAGACACTAATGGATCTACTTCTGACGTAAGTATAATAAATAGAGGTAACATGCCTATTTTTATATTCAGAAACAGCCAAGAAGTAATTTATCCTTATAATTTGCAAAAAGGAAATGATCAAATGTCAAATGTAATAACTTTTCCAATATTTTGTCAAAACTATACAATAGTTTTTTAATAATATCAAAATCTCCAAACAATTTCTTAATACTCGGTTTCAGACAATTAATTTTTAACAAATTAACATAAATTCTTAGTAAAATTTCTTGATGATTTCTAAACCACCTTCTAAAAATAGTTTGTCTTAAAGGCATATTGAGAAAACAACAGTCCAGTGAACACAAAAAATTTAGCAGTTTTACTTTCTCAAAAAAAAATAAAAACTAATTTTTCAAATTTATATTTTACAGCATCCAAAGTAAAAACGCCATTTCCAGTTTCTCTCAACTTTGACTTTCATATTGATATAATGATCGACATTTAGTCTGGGTACAACAGAGTTCATGATAATGAAGTCCAATAGCTAATTAACAATGTTAAAAATAAAATCTTTAAGGGATGATAAATCATATTGAAATTTTACTATCCAAGATTTGTAAACCTTTAAGAGAAAAAGTACTAAGCAATTTATTTTAAAATTGTTACATGAATACTTTTTTTTTTACCTAAAAGATTTGTCACCATTTCACCTGGCCTTTCTCCATTTTCACCAATTTCTAAATCATAATAAGCTTTATTTCGTTCACGAACAACTGTTTCTAAATTTGCCATACTTAATTCAACCTGAAATAAAAAAAAATAGATCATATTTCAGATTTTACATTTTTAATTCATAATATTTATCCAACAATACTTATAAATAATATAAGAAATATTATAATATAAAAATAATAATTGAAATAAAAGTAATTAACAACCAATGGCCTGTGATGACATAGTTTTTATAATAATAAAAAAGTTAATAATTAAATATTATATTTCTAAAACTAATGTTAGTTAGCTAATAGGCTTTATTTATAAATAAAAAATATAAATACATTATTAACAAAGGGAACATTTAAAAAATTGATTTCTCATCCTTATTGAGTAATGTGAAAATTATTTTCTCATTATCCTCAATCATTTCAAAAATATTTTTTTATTATTAAATTTAGAGAAAATATATGCTGTACAAAATACGTAATGTACGTTTTATTTTATTTAAATTTTAATTATTGATAATTATCATTTACTTTATCAATACGTTCAGGATTAGGAAAAAGTTCAAACTGTGATTTACATTCTTCTTCCATAGTAAGTAACATATTCCTTTCTTTTAATAAAACAAACCTAAATAATTAAAGGAAAAAAAATTAAATTACTCGCAATTTAATAACAATACAAATATTAGATAAGATATTTGAAATTATAAATTAATTTTCCTGTTGATATTTTATCTTTTTTTTTCCTTGTTTACCAAAGTTTATGTAAGTCTTCATTGCTTTTAATACGCAATTCATCTTTAGACCATGCTCTTCCAACTTTAACATGTTCAACAGCCCAATTTTTTTTATCATCAAAAAATTCCATCAGATCTCTATGAATCACAGAAACATGAAGTCCATTGAATCTAAAAATAAATGATAATACAAATTTTTAAATTTTATAATTTTAAACTGAGATGGCCTATATAACTAAATTAGAAACTAAATTTAATACTAGAATAAAAATTTCCAAATAAATTTTATAAAAAATTGAAAAAAAAAGTGTATTACTATAATATTAGAAAAATAGAAAAACTCTTAAAAATATCAAAAAATAAACTTATATTGTTAATTAATTATTATAATTTGAAATAAAAAATTAAAATTAATTTCAACTTTTTTAAGGTCAAATTTTAAGTTTAATTAAAGTTTCAGAAGCTTTTTCATAATATTTTTAGTTTCTGTAATTGTTTTTTCAATATATAATAAAAAATATTTGATACAGATAAATTAATTTATTAGTTATAATAAAAATGGCCAAATCCTAGGGTTATATACAACAAACAAATCCTAACAAAGACCTATTGCTGGATTTGGACATAAAACCTCACAGATTTTATTTAGAATAGCCAATTGCACCTAATCCAGACTCACGTGGACTTTTTTTGCTCATTAATTTTTTTTTCATTCTTACTCTCTTCAAAGTAGCATAGTTATGGAAGGGATCTAAAGTGTCCCAATTCCTCTTGGTATAAAATTATGGTAAAAGAGGTTAAAGTTCTCTCTATTATTTGTTGAGAATGTTAATATTGATTTACAAGATCAATGTTTAAAGAAAAAATTATTTGAAAATGTAAAAGAAATCTATTTAATTTATTAACTTTTAAAAAACTTTTATTTATAATGTTTAAAATAAATGGTCATTATAACAAAATAATTATTCATTAAAATAATAATTAGTACATTAAAGCAGCTGTTGTTGTTATTTGTCAATAGGTTATACTATTGTAATTACTTTGAAGAGACTATTCATATCATCAAATACAGGGCAAATAATATAATGAATTAAAGAAGACTAATTAAAAATTTTCTTAGTAACTCATTTGGCCTATCTGGACTAGTAGAGTTTATTAAATAAATCATTTAATTAATAAACTAGGTTCTAAGAATTGTATACATTTTATACAGTTTTAGTAATTATTAGCAACTTACCGTAAACTAGTTGCATAATTATTAACTACATTTTTCAGTAAGCAACATCCTTTAAATACTCTAAAAGCCATTTTATAAGACAAAAACCTAAAAACACTCAGTTTTTAACAAAACAAAAATATTTATACCAAAATTATAAGTAAATATTGGATATCATATTTTAACAGGTAAATGTAATTAAAACGTAAAATTTGCTATACACAAAATTATAATTGTAGAAGAATTGAGATAGGCATTAAGTATGTTCTATCAAATTAAAAAAACTATTTTTTGATTGATAAATATCTCATTATCATTTGTCAGTAACGTTAGAAAGCGCTTATTCTATGATAACAAAACGGAATTATTTTAAATTCATGTATGTATAAAATACTAGTGATGGGAAATATCGAATAGTAAAAATATTCGTTAGTTACACAATATATTCGAATAGTTTTAAAAACTATTCGATATTCTATACTAAAAATAAACTATTCAGTTGTATAAACATAATTCGAATAGTTAATCGATAGTTTAAAATATTTGAAAATGTCCATCACTATAAAATACAATTAAATATCACACATAAGATAAATCTTTTCACATCTGTGGTTATATTAGTTATCTGTGAACGCAAGTGGTTAACACCACTTGCGTTCTTAACAACAAGGTCAAAAAAAAATTGTATTTTTTTAATTTAAACAAACAGTTTTTAATTGATATTTATGATATTTTTTGGTTTTATATTAAAAAATATGTTTTAACCTAAATAAATAAAAGTTAATTTAAATTAATTGTAAACATTTAACATTTTTACACTTAAGCAGTTGAAGTAGTGTGACCTAGAATAAACCCAATCTTTCCACTTCCCTAAATCCATCACTAATCATTCAAAGATAATAAACTTGATTAGTACTGATCGAATTGAAAAATAAATTCTGAATTTAACATGGATTGAATTTAGATTTTTTAATGGAAGAAGCAGAAAACAATTTTTCCCCTAATATTTACATAAAATAATAACAAAATAAGTTAATGAGTGAAAACCCAACCCCACCCCTTCTGAAATATACTTTAATTCAACACTGTTCACGCTACTAGTAGCGAAGTTGAAAGAGGCCATGGGACTATCGTAGTCCCATTGGGTAATCATTACCCAATACAATTTTTTGATAAAATGTTTTCGCTTGCAAGTTAAAACAATTATACAAAACTTATAGTTAAGAGAATTCTTAAATTCATACTTATTTGGTTTTACCTGAATTTAACTACATAGTTAGTTTTTATTAAAATAATACATAATCTATTTTTAAATTGAGAATTTCTAAATCAAAATCCAAATTTAATTGATCATTATAAATAATATATTTTATGACATTTATTTATAACCAAGATTAAACAGTATTGTTTTATGTTTTAATTGATTTATAATAAACATTAAAATATAATGTATTTTGTAAAATACTACATAAATACTAATAAATATCTTAACTTTAAGTATAAATTTACTTATACAAAGTGTTTTGTAACAGTTATATGAAAACAAGTCATACTTGTTATAATCAGAGTTAATTATTCTTCTTTTTGGAACTAAAACCAATATTTAAGTGCGTATATTGACTGTTAATTTTAAAATTTTTATAAGTTTAAAATGTTAAACATATTAAATTTTTCTCCTACATTTTTATTATATTTAACTTTTAAAATATTCTACGGTGAAATCAAGAAATAATTATCAATAATGAAAATTTTTTTTATGACGTATTAATTCCAATAAATATATATTTAAATTTTTTGTGTTTTAGCATATCAGTTATATTAACAAACCATATACATTAGTAATAATAAATATAGTTTAAAAAAACCAAAAAACACGCTTTTAAAGCACATCGAACTAAAAAGTTAAAAATAATTTTTTAGTTCAATGTGCTTTAAAAGCGTGTTTTTTGGTTTTTTTAAACTATATTTATTTTTTACTTTTTAGTTTCATGTTATGATAGTAGTTAATATCAATATCATGGTTGTAACGGGTAACGAGAAATCAGGGTTCGATTCGGGAGAGGGAGTCTGAGAAACGGCTACCATATCCAAGGAAAGCAGCAGGCGCGCAACGTGGAGGTAGTGACGAAAAATGACGATACGGGAATCATCCCCCGTAATCGGAATGAATACACTACATATCTCTTAATGAGAATAAAGCGTATTAATATATAAGTTTTAATAGTAATTAGAATATATATATACATGTAAAGCGACTTAAGTACGTAAACGTATCATGCACGAGGTATAGCCGTGTTTTGTAGCGGGGGAAACATTATACACGAGGCATAAACGGCGGCAGCGGCATCGGTTATAGGAATATATAAATGAATATTAACATATACGTATATATAAATATTAATATATATATATATATATATGTATATATTAATATTAACGGTGGCGATATGAATATATAATCTTCGCATAATATCGCGGCACTTTCGCTGGCGTCGACGACACGATGTCCGGCGTGATCCTCGGGCGTTAAAAGGTTAGCAGCGTTGATGGCGACGGTGCGCAAGTGCGAATCAGTTCGTCGACGTTTTCACTTTGACAACGGGAAGAAGACTACGGTATCATTTGCGGCGGGACGTCGTCGGCCGTGTGGCACTTGCTGGACTTTGCATCGCGGCGTATAACGCGCGGTGTTGGTCAGTCAAATACTCAGAGTAGAACGACGGCTGATAAAGGTGGCACGAGTCGCGGCGCATCGTGTATAAGGAAGCGACGCGTTGCATTGGAATGGAAACCACAAGGGAAAAGACCTAGAGGGAGGCCGAAGAAAAGATGGATCGACGTGGTAGAAGAAGATCTAAGAATCCTTAGAGTTAAAGACTGGAGAGAGACAGCCCAAGATAGAGATAGGTGGCGAAGCGTAGTAATGGGGGCAAAAACTCTTAGAGAGTAGAAATGCCAGTAAAAGAAAAAGAAGATATATATATATAATTGATGACACGCGCGCGTCTACGGGTTGGAAAATATTGTTTACGACGAGTGGTGAGTGGGGTGGGGTGAATGCGTTACGACCGTCTAGTCTCAAGGCCGTAGACACGTGCGCGTGGAAAGTTACAAACAACTCACAACTCACAACAAACATACATGTGAAACTAATATAAGCGTGTTAAAAATTATTTGATCGAAGAATCTGATAACACTATCAATATAATGGATTTGAGTATCTATAAAAACCTTCAGAAAAATCTTGTAGGCTTTAGTCATATGGATAATTGAAGAGAAAATCAAATACATCCAATAAGAACTGAGAAAATATTTTTATCCTCCTACACATGACTTACGCATTGAACTTATTTTTTAATCTTCAAAGTGGCCCAAAGGAATAATTTAGTCCAACATTATGTAAGTATAAGTAGGGTAAATAAGGTGATTCAGCCCGATAGTGGAAAAAAGAGGCGTGACCTGTTAAGGGAAAGTCTGTCCCACCTCACCTCCTCCTAAGTGGATCGTGGTCTTATGATGGTGGGGGTAATCCCCCTTTTCTATTATTTAAAGTTGGTATAAAACACATTAGGTTTTGGAAAATTAATCATATTATAACTTCATTTTCTTATTTTTGCCTAATCAGTGAAGTATAACAGTGTGATATTCAAGATAAACAAAATTAATATATTCAAGATATAAAAATATATGATGCACCGGCGAGGGGTGTATACTTGTATACACTGAGCATAAGGCTCTCTATAGGAGAAAATAGAGAGGAAATTAATCAAAGGCTAGAGGTGTAGAGATCAGCTCTTGAAGAAATGGGTTTAAGAATAAGTAGGAGTAAGTCAGAGTACATAGAGTACGAGTTTGACAAAGGAGAACACGAGGTAGCTGAAATAAGGAGACCAGTGACAATAGGTGAGGACGTGATTGGAGAGGTGGAAAGTTTTAAGTATTTAGGATCAGTTGTGCAAAAGAGCGGTGGTATTGACGAGGATGTAAGACATAGAATCAAGTGCGGGCGGTTGAAGTGTAGAGAAGCGTCTGGTGTATTATGCGATAAAAAAATTCCGAGTGAGGGAAGCTATGATGTATGGTTCAGAGTGTTAAGTGGTTGATAAGAAAGTAGAGCAGAGAATGAGTGTAGCAGAGATGAGAATGCTTAGATAGATGAGTGGAGTGACTAGATAAGATAGGATAAGGAACGAGCATATATGAGGGAGTATAGGTGTAGTGTCAATCGTGGATAAGATGAGAGAAAATAGACTTAGATGGTTTGGTCATGTTATGAGGAGAGAAGAATCTGAAGCTGTAAAAACAGTTATAGAAATGAAGGAAGGAAAAGAAAGGAAGAAGAGATACAGGAAGAACAAAAAAGAGATTGAGAGATGTTATTGAATGCGATATGAGGACAGCTGGTGTGAGCATAGATGATCTGGGAGATTGTGTCAAGTGGAAATTTAGGATAAGGGTGGTCGACCCCAAGTATTTGGGATTAAAGCGAGGAAGAAGAAGAAGAAGAAAATTTAAAAGATATAAAATTATATAAAAATGTTAATAATTATAAAAAAATCTTTATACCTTGTACAGAATACATATGAGTTTGCTGATTCATGATTTTTTTTTATTTGCGCATGTAAAATATTAACATAATACATTTTTAGTTTTCAAAAATTAACTATACGTTAAGGTCTATTAAACACGCATGTGACAGGATAAAAAGCATTTAACCGGTTAAAATTAATTTAGTAAAAAATAAAATGCGTTGGCCGGAAAAACAAAAAAGTTGTCATTTTTCTCATAAAATGTATACGATAGTGATCATTACTGTAATGTGGTACCTTTGATGTTTGAAATAAGCTTATCTAACCGTCTGGTAGACGATGACAAAATTATTAAAAAATGATTTATTACGTACAACCTAAAGGCTTACAGCAAGTTGTATTAGTCTACATCGGTTATCATCATCACCTCTCCCATTGCATTAGGTTAGTTTATGTTATGTTTCATTATCCCTTCCCTCTGTAACGCATGGTTAAAAACGAGATCCCCCTGCAATAGGTTAATTTACATCGGATTTAATACTCATCCTTCATCCGAGTGGTGTAGGAACGCTATTAGGTTGGATAACAAGGATTGTATGTAGGACGTTCACGACAGTTGAGTGACAATTACTTAATTGTAATGGCTATTACAATGACCACAATAACATCATAGAGTTTGTTAACACTCCTTCCACGTAGGCTACGCCTCTTACTTTCCCTATCGGGTTGGATCCTCT